AAAATAAATAAATAAAAATCCTAGATCCACCACTGTTTTAGGGTCTTCAAATGACTTCAGTCTTCACGCAAACACTGTTGTAAAAATCCTCACAGCTCTGTCATTTTTATGTTTGTTAGTTTGACAGAAATTTCATGAAATCTTTGTCAGGCATACTCCCCATGGCTACAAGTGCTACAGCTCATTGCTGCCGCTGTTCACTCGGAAAAAAAAACCCTGATTTTCATGTAAAGCTATAAAAAGCAAAGTCAGCAAGCCACTTTACTCATGACTGTTTGGACCAGCCATTAGCTCGTTACAACTCAACTATTTTGCCTAAAGTAGGTTGTTACAAGAGGCTATCTACTACAGGTAAGATAATGTTAACTTTTCAGAAACCCTCTTGATATTGAACAAACKTAGCTCTTTATTAAATTACAATTTGTTCAAATCATTTCCTGCCTCACTGTGTTCATTTGGAAGATGCTCCACAAATGTCACAGAAGATTCATATTGTGTGCTAAAGAAAAACTAAAAAACATTATATTTCTACTTCTGAGATTGTTGTCCTCSAAACATAACCTGCCAGATTAAAGCTGCACTGATCATCCTAACAAACACTCGAGGTGTAATAATCATTTAAAAAATAACTAAGTAACTTGGTATCACACCCAGAGTATGGCATAACATCAGTCATCAGTTGTGTTTGAGTCTCAGTCATTTGTTTCCAATTTATAAACCAGAGTTGGACAGATGTAAATGTACCTCTACTGCCCCCTACAGGTCACACTGATTTTTGCATTTAATCAGGCAAACTAAAGAACACGGATTTCTGCAAAACAAATAAAGCAGGCAATGATTTAAAAATAATATATTTTAATTCATTTGTTATAACAAAGAGGAAAAAAAAGATTATAAAGATATAAACTTTTTAGTCAAGAATATCACTGAAAAGCTTCCTCTTCTTGAACTCGCCCGTCTGGATTTCCTGCCATTTGGCTTTTCTGTCCACGAAGTGGGAGAGAGAAAACTTTGCCCAAACGTGCCGAGCGAACTGATTTGACCTCAGCTGGTTTTCACACGGAGCTGGAACAAGAGGACACGCAGGAAAGAAGAGTCGTGAGTTAAGAGATAGGTGATGCTCGTGATCGGTGCAGAGAATCTGTTCATCTTACCGAGTTCCTGTGCGATGCTTTGTCTTTGACTGATGGTGGCGCTGTTCCACGCAGCTTCGAGCACACGGCTGCCCAACCTCGAGCAMGCCATCGGGACAAACTGTCCCTGTGGGGGATGAGAACAGTTGTGTGGTACGTTTTGTATTGTTTTTTTTTTAAACTGAGTATCACATGAACATGAAATACCTCCAGTCGCTTGAGGATCTTGCCCCGGCCTTTGTCACTGCAGGTGGTGATGAGGGCCTGGAGGACGTGGCTGCCAGCAGGGTCCGAAGCYAGAGTGAGGAGGTCAGCGGGGCTCAGAGTACGCAGGCTGCTGAGGAGGATCGAGTGCTCTTTAAAYTTAGCCAGTGCTTGGACCAGCAGGGAGCCGTGGTAGCAGATGGTCAGGGGAACCTGGAAACAACAACAAACAGAAAAACACGGCCATCGATCCAAACTTTTAAATCAGAGATAAGTTTAAATCCGAACACAAAAGATGTCARTCTCTGACCTCTTTCTGTGTGCTGCCACCTGCTGCTTCAGATTGGTAGTACACCTCAAAGGTGACCAGGGACATGAAGAGAGGGAGGCAGCTGACGTGTCGAGAGCCGGGCTCGGCGCAGTGGAAAGCCTGTGGGGACACACGGCGGGGGTTCAAAAAAAAAAAATACAAATCTACAAATCCAACATGGAGTCATCGAGTTCTGCCCCAAACATGAACAAAAACACAAGAGCATGACGTTTTGAAGCTCACATTAAGAAGGCACTGCATGATATCCTGCTGCTTTTCTCCACTTTCTGCGCAGCTTTCTGCCAGCTGGACGATCACGCCCATGTGACCTGCAGCCAAGATGGCCTCTACGCCCTGGACCAGCTCGTCGAACAGCTTGAGGAACTGCAGACGGAAAACAAACATTGGAAAAAAAAATCATCCAAACAGTTTAAAACATTTTGTATTTCCCCCCACAAGTTCTCCTCAAAAATCGAACCATTTTATATTTGGCCGAGGCCGCGGTTAGCCTCTGGACGGGGAAGTTGGCGATGGGATGGAGGGCCAGGTCGACCAGGTGACCCCTCAGGTGGTTTTTGTAGAGGTCACGGAGAAGAGGCTTGTGGGACAGCTGAATGATGGTCTCTACCAGGTGACTGGAAGTCTGATCCTTTAAAAAGACCAGAAGTGGACTGAAACAGTAAAAACACGAGCAGCTGTTATGTAGCAAACAACAATGGCTAAAGCAACAAACCATTACAGAGCATGAGGTCAAAGCTTAGCCTCTAACCTGACTCCAGGAGCAGCACTGTGTCCCGTCAGGTACTCCGTGCTGCGTTTCAGCAGCTGTTTGCAGAGTTTGGGACGTTTTCTGTGGCATACAGTCAGCATGGTCTGGAAAACTGCACTGGCAACAGCATCTGTAACACTTACTAAAGACAAACATACGGCTCTCAGACTTTGACTATTCAGAAGAGTTGATAGCATCTTTAGCATATGCTAAATTAATCAAACTATTATATAAATAGCTGTTTGGTAAAACTAAAAGAATTTTAATTGTTTATTAAACAGCATTTGTATAAATTCCCTTAAAATGTTTCTGAATAGAGTAAAAATGCAGGCACTAGCTGTTTACCACAGGTAAGATACTCATTCCTAACAATCTTTCCACAACATCACATCTAAAGATCTGAACTATTTGTAGCAGCATCTGCAGCCACATGCTGAACAGTTCTGGTAGGAAGCTGTGTTACTGCTTTTGTACCTAATTCAAAGTTTTGTAAGGAAGTGAATTATTTGCAGAATTTGTGGCRTTTTGATGGCAAATTTGTGAGAAACATAACGAAGCAGCGACATAGCAAAGCGAGGAGTCAGCTAGTTTGTGTTTAGCTTACCAGATCATAAGCACTTCTACCAGGAGGGAAAAAAAAATCTACAAAAACACTTTGTATGTAAGTTACAATATGATCTTACAGTAAACAAAAAGGGGTTACTAATAACTAATAACTGCTAGTGCAGGGCTATTCAACTAAATTGCTCTGGGGGCCACAGTTACTGCAGGTCAACAGCTGAGGGGCCGAACATCCAGCAAATAAAGGAACTTAGAGTAATTAAAGTCAAAATCCGGGGGTTTGGGCTTAAGAGATGAATGAACCCATTGGCGGGCCAAACTTTGATCACTCGGCTGCCAGTTGAATAGCCCTGAACTGGGGGTAACTGGCAGAAATGTCGCAGGATGTTAAACAAAAATTCAGTGGAATCGTTAACCTCTAGCCTGATAAAAAACAGACCCTTGTCCTTCACTTTGCTTCGTACGAGGGTCTAGACTCTCGGCTATAGAGAAGTGGTTCTTGCTGGAGGCGTGGCCTCTGCTGAAGTTTAAAATGAYTGGATYRKTTGGCCATGACGTTTGTTRCTGTGACRGGGGCTAAGCTAAGAAGCTAAACATAAATTGTGTGYGCTGTAAAYAACCCTACTGAGAGGAGAGAAGTAMYGAGCCGAACGATACTAGTGTAAATGAGAGCTGCTGCTTTGTCAGACAGATTTAATTTAATTTGGAAGCCTTATCAACACGGACTGGCTTCTTTCACTTCCTCCACTGCCGTATGCTAAACTAACTAGCAGACATTGCGCAGAAAATCGACATTCTGTTCTCTGATTGGCCCGGACAAAATGCTCCCAAAGAAATCCTTGTCTTTGGGAGAAATCCCAGACGGATCAGTGATGCGAAACTAGAACTGAGTGGACCTGCATAGGAAGGCAAGGGCCAGGCTAGTTAACCACTGAAGCGTTTCATTTCATGCAGTGGTTTCAAGCTGCTCTTTACACTTTTGGCCACCAGATGGCACCAAAGAGGACAGTGTTGAGGAGCTTCACAAAATGAAGTCTTTCTCAAGAAAAGCTCCATTTGGCCATCACAAGTGATTTGCAAACAAGAGAACATGCAAACTCAAAAACCCTCAAACCCAGGACTTTCTTGCTCTGAGGCATCTGTGGTAATCACCAAACAGCTGTGCTGCCTGTTTAGCATTACTTTCATCAATTGGTTTTATGCTGCCAGCAATTTTTGTACTTGAGTCTAATTTCTGTTGATTCTGTTGCATACAAATTTATGAAGTTTCCGTCATGAATCTTCCAATTAGGGAAAGAAAATATTTTTACATTAATACCCTAGACTACAGTATTTACTTAGCTTTGTGCCATTTTTAATACTTATTACTGCAGAAAAAGACAACATGATTCCGTTGCTGTAAAACAAAACACATGGGTGAGGAGAATATTTACAGAATAAGAGTTTCTGTTTACCCTCCTGCTGCCCTTAGGTCAAAATGACCCATGAGGTCTCAGTTTAAACACGTGAGTGGAGCTAAACTACAGTAACATTTTGTTACACTAACATGAAGTACACGGCTTATATCCAAATGTTTTATTTACTGAACAAGTGACTAGTTAAAAGCATACGTCAGCCACTTTCAGGAATTTCAAAATAAAAGCATAAATGATATTTATAAAAAAACCTTTTTCCAACACAGTTTGTGTTATTCATGTTTTTTATTTTATTTTTTGCTTCAAATAGTAAGGACAAGTGGAAACTAGTGACTTCCATATTCAGACCCTGACAATCATATTATTATGATCAGGATGAGAATTTTTTCTTACACAAAGCAAAAATCTGGAGTCTGAAGCCTCCATCCTCATAATTATAATTCTTTTTTTAATAAATACTGTTTATGACGCCTACAAAACTGCAGATTTATTAGTTCTTGCAGCACAGCAATCCTCCACCTCCCTGTGAGATTAATGGGATTGCAGCAGTTTAAATCACAGTGTGAGTCGAGATGTAAAAACAAATATTTTTATTCATTTTGTTTCTTATAAAGAAAAACTCACTTGGGTTCTCCTGCAG